GATTTCAGAAGAAGTTGGTTGTAAGAATGTAGATGACACTGGTTTCATTTTCCTTTTTTTTTCTTTTTCTTTTTCTTTTTTTTTCCCCAGAAATGGGCTTTGGGAATTGGCTGAAATTTTTTACTATGCATAAATGCATACTATTCTTAAAAAGAACTCAACAAAATAATATGGAGTATTGATAAACCTGTGGAGATCCATTACGCAGCCACATCAGTGAGTCTGCTCTTTTCACCCCTGGGGATAAGGAAAAGCAGTTTAAATGCAGAATGTTGAAACTTTCCAGTTTCAGGCAAGGACTCCAGCTTATGGGATGTGAAAGTTAGTAAATAAGTCTTACTGAAACTAAGCAAATATATCTAGTGTTAGTAAATGGGCTTTTGTCTGGCAAAGATGGTGAAAAAACAAAATAGCAATTAGCAAATGCAATATACATTTTCAGAAAGGTTTTTTTTTTCTTCTTTTTTTTTGCCATGAGAATACAAGTGCTTTATGTATTCTAAGTATTTGATAAAGTAGAACTAAGTTTTAAACACAGTTAAACTTTTCTATCCTAAGCACCAGTAGTTTTCCAAGCCAAGCAGCCTGGTTTTAGTGCCTTCAGTGGGGACAGGAGGAGAGAGAAATCCTCCTGTTGGTTTTAATAGGGGAAGGCTGGACTGCTCAGGTATGGAGCACCTGTGCTTTTTGTCAGCCAGCAAGGCTTTGGGCAGGGTGCTTGGCCAGGAGCAGCAGAGGAGGGCTGGGGAAGTGGCAGTGCCAAAGCATTGGGCCACAGGCGTGAACAGGAGGAAATTCCCCTGTTGCGAAGTGTGGGCTGGGGCTGGAGAACCCGTGGTATTGCAACAGGGAGAAACTGGAAGTGAAAGGGTGCTTTCACAATGAGGATTTCGGAGACAGGAAGCAAATTCAAAGGAAACAGGTCTTCCTTAGTGCTGCTGCTTAGAATATAATCTGGGCTTAAAGCTGCAGCTGAGACGTTGGAGGAGGGAAGGTAAGTTGAGAGGCACATTTCTAGGTCTCCCTGGCAGTACTTTGTCAAGGCCTCTGTAGAGAAAAGAAAGGTTTGCGGTGGATTGCTTTTGTTCTCTGGAAATGATGCTAACCAGTGGCTGGGATTTTTTTTTTTTTTTGTATTGTTTGTTTTTTCCAGCAATATATCCAACCAAATATTAAACCCACTCACATTACTTGGCAACTTGGTAAGAGATAAAAATGAAATAATTTAGCATGGGCCAAATATAAGTTATGAACAGAGTTCTTTCCTACCAGGCACCATAAGATGAAAGAGTCTTTCTGCTGCTTTGCATTCCATGTGCTCCCACTCTTTTTCCACTCACTTGAAAGCTAATCCATGGTTTTGGAATTTTCTTCACAACGATTAGTTGTGTAACCAAGGATTATGGGCTTTAGATGAACTGTAACCAATGAATTGAACTGTGAACATGGGGTTGCCTTTCAATGCAAGCGTACCTGCTCGTGCAACCAAGACAGTGAGAGTGCTGAAATTACAGCTACAGTCACAAGTGTATTCAGCTCTTCCAGGTGTGCCCAAATGTTCTCTTTCCTATAAAATTCCTTACATGGTCTTCATTTGGTTTGGCAGTTGGAGTAGGGCAGTACCCTTATAAATAGTAATAAATGAAAAATTCTTATAGTAGCAGGTAGAACTGTGCAGTATTTACTCTTTTGGATAGAGCTTCTGCAGATTGTAGGTTTTTTAATGGAGTTGTGATTTTTATTACAGACGTGTGTTATAAATTTCACAATTCTCACTTAATTGTTCCCTAGCTATGACCAGACATCCTACTAAATTATATTTTTAGACTTGTTTCCTAAGGAAATGAGGCTTGCACTAGTCATGCTGTCACAGTCAGCTGTCATTGTCCACCCATCTGTCTACCCTTGGTAACTGCCAATTTCAGGCAAACCTGACAGACTAGTGGAGGTAAAGGAACCACTTCTCTGCAGTTCAGGATCTAGGAGGGATACTGTCATGTTCCCCCACTTGAGGGAACCCGGCGATCCCAGTGCATACCTACCTTGTGGGAGCCCAAGCAAGATAGGTATCACCAGGAAAGGCAGCCAAAGCTGGCCGGGGAGGGCAGCACGTAGTGGGAGATAGAACAGGCTTCACAGGTGTGAAAAGAAGCTGATATGCGAAAGCAGTCATCTGATAAGGGGTGGCTGTAGCTGAGGGTGCTGCAGGAGCTGTCAGAGGCAGGGAGGAATGGTGCAGCAGGAGGTGCAAGGAGAAAAACAGGAACAGATTTCCCTGGTTCTGCTCTTGGAACAACTTGTATCCTCTTCTCCCATAGAGATACAGTTACGGATCTTACAACCTCACATTAAAATGACTGGTAGATAATGTGCATACACTTCACTGAGCTTGGCTGCAGATGACTCTCTGGATATTTCCTTATCTGAAGCTGTTTGGAAACCAGAACTTTGGTGCATGTCACTGGTATTCTGAAAGGTTCATTGTTATCACCCTTAAAAAGTTCAGTTACATTAAATATTAGAGCTCAAAGGGAGGAAGTGTGTGTATTTGCCTTTATCGATATAGAAATCCAGCCACATATCTGACTTTTCCTGCACTGTCATGGTTCGTTTTGAATGGGGAGGATGGAAAGGAATGCTTGAAATGCCAAGCACAGCATTGGAAAGTCTGTGGGAAAAGATGCAGCCTGTGAAACTCCAAGTAAAAGAAAGTGGCTGCATGATAACCTTTTCCTAAATCTTTACTCACCTTCGTTAGACTTCAAAGGTTGTTGTTTTTTAATTTGTTTTTACAGATGTGTTTTTTTGATTGTTTGTTGGCAAGTTTTGTGTTTTTTTTGTTTTTTTTTTTCTGTAGATGCTTCTGTTTATGACATTTCTCTTATCACATGACATCCCTTTGTTTTTCATTACTCAGTTCTCTTTTTAACCAGTTGTGTTCTGGCCAGATGCTTCGTCAGCTGCTCCTTTTCCCAATTTTATTAGTTCAGGGCACAGCTCTTTATATCTCCCTAACAAAGCATAACAAAACCTGGGCTTTTAATTGAGAAAGTTCCTTTTTAGTATAAGGCTTATTGTAGGATGAATCCGCTGAGATGCAGTTGCTTGTTCTGCATGAAGTTGTAATCAGGATTTTCTAACTAAATGACACTTAAGTTGTGTTTGTTTATATTATCCTAATTTAATGCTCCTTAATTCTCGTACTATATACATCCTTGCCTTTTGGTTGAAAGTGATCTCTACACTGATGAAAAATTCCAGTAATCTTGGCAGAGATCAGCCCCGGCCAACTTTTGATTAAAGCTTGCTTGGCATGAAAGCACTGCTTTCCTCCAATTGTCTCCCCCAACACAATAAGCTGGTCTCTGTCATTTTGTCTCAAAGGGCAGCCACAGGCTCTCAGCTCAAATTAAGTACTTAGAATTACATTAGGATGTAAGCAGGCTCCAACAGGAAGTAAGGAGCTGCTCGAGAAGGTCAGAAAACACTTAGGATCATCGGAATTTTCTGTAGTCTTCTGAGATGTTAAGGCTGCAGAAATTAATGTATTTAACTCTTCTTTCATGTGACATCATTACCTCTGCAGTGTTTGTGTGCTGTTCAGCTAAACCTGTGAAGTATGCCACATAGCTGCACTAAACATACTTTTGAATTCTTGTATGGTAGCCCTGAAGTGGTCAGGCACTTGCACTTGGATCTCTGTAGGCCCTTTTCAGCTGAGTTATTCTATTTAATACATTTGTACGTGCGTGTGTGTGTGCATACATGTAGTCTATATATATATATATATATATATATATATATACTATATATATACACAGTATATACTGTAATACATTTTTCAGTGCTGCCATGGCCCAACTAAAGTGTTCTGAATTGTTAAAATGAAATTGCATGCTTCTCCTTCTAATAGGGCTATTTAAAGAAACAAGAACAAAGCCTCATTTTTTTTCATTCATTTTCCCGTAATCAGTATGTATTCACAGTGTCTGAAGTGAATCTCTCTCCTCCCACCAAGGATCTAGATGAGAGAAAAGTGCAAAATCTGTGATTTCTACGTTGTTTCTTTTTTTTTTATTTTTTTATTTTTTGCATTCTGTCCAATGCATGACATTTCGGATGTTGCTTACCTTGTGGGATTTCATCTTTTGTGTTATCTTCAGAACTTTTATAGCTGAATTTTAGAATAGATGGCTACTTATTAACTTTACCTTTTTGTTTATATATAAGTTTAAGCAGCCTTTGCTGCAGAAGTTTGAAAGTGAGTGGTGCAGCTTTTCCTCCACATTACACCCCAGAAAAGAATGTAATGGTATTATTACTTTTGTATATTGTATTTAATTCTGTAACTGAAGCCATGACAGTACAGCAGAACTTGGGGGTTTTAGGGGAATGAACTCCAATAATCCTCTTCATTGTGAGGTCAATGCTTCTGTGGTACATGGCAAAACTTGGGTGGAAGTGGTGCAAATTTCACAAGAGGGCTTGCAGTTGGAAAAGGTTGCAGCTGCCTGGGGAATGAAATGAAGACTGAAGAGAACAGAATGTTATCTGTAGAGAAACTAAGGTTTTATCCCTCTGCTGGTTTATTTTTGCATACTTCTTTCTCGTGTTTTACGTGAGTCAAATTAAAGTCATCACTACAAAGAAAAAGCATGGTAGGTTAACTGGATTTTTAGGAGACATAACAGTGCAAATCTTTTTGAGATTCGGGAAGTTTCCATGGTGAAGAAACCAGTGTTTATAAGTGTGTTAAGATTCTGGTACTATTGGGAAAGGAAGAGAGTGATGATAGTGCCATACATAAGTGTTTAAGCAAGATGTCAAAGATCATCTCTTAAAGGTGTTGCTGTGTTTTCTGACAGTCTGCATCATTAGAGATAAGATCTCCATTATAGAGAGATGAGATTTGAAGTGACGAAGGTGTGCATTGCTTTAAGTGTCTGCAGTGTGGGGAGGATGTTGAGTGACCACTTTCTGCTTCTGTCTTTATTTCACAGGCTTAGGAAAAACAAAAAGAAAGACGAGCGCGCGAGACGCCTCGCCCACTCCCAGCACAGATGCAGAGTACCCTTCCAATGGCAGCAGCGCAGACCGCATCTATGACCTCAACATTCCTGCCTACGTCAAATTTGCCTATGTGGCGGAGAGAGAGGATGAACTGTCCCTTGTCAAAGGGTCTCGGGTCATTGTCATGGAGAAATGCAGCGATGGCTGGTGGAGAGGGAGCTACAATGGACAGATTGGCTGGTTTCCTTCGAACTATGTGGTGGAGGAAGTTGAGGAGGCCACAGCAGATTCACCGAGCTTTCTGAGCTTGAGGAAAGGCGCTTCCATGAGTAACGGCCAGGGCACCAAAGTACTCCACGTTGTTCAGACACTGTACCCATTCAGCTCCGTCACAGAAGAAGAGCTCAATTTTGAAAAGGGGGAAACAATGGAAGTCATTGAAAAGCCAGAAAATGACCCAGAATGGTGGAAATGTAAAAATTCCAGAGGGCAAATTGGTCTTGTTCCTAAAAACTATGTAGTAATCATTAGCGATGGTCCTACCATTAACACTTCCCACCCACCTCAGATAAGCTACACGGGACCATCTTCTACCGGACGATTTGCTGGAAGAGAGTGGTATTATGGGAATGTTACCCGACATCAAGCAGAATGTGCCCTAAACGAAAGGGGAGTGGAAGGAGACTTCCTTGTTAGAGATAGTGAATCTTCGGTAAGTGATACTCAGCACCATGGTCTTTATATTAAAACAAGTGATGTATGGTTTAGCAAGTGTGGAAGCTCATAACTGGGGTACCCCAGAGAGGGACTTTTCACCCCTAAACAAACAAGCAGTGCTTCAGTGCTGCAAACTGATCCATGTACCTTCTGTGAGACTCCATCTCTCACAGAAATGCAGTGACATTTACACTGAAATTTAACGATTGTGGACTGTATTATCCAGGGTTTTTTAATTAGCAGACAAGTAACAAGATATTTCAACCTTCTGTCTGACATTTCATCCTCATATGCAATCCTTCTCAAGTTTATAGCACTACAAGGGGAAAAAAAAAAAATCTTGCAAATTACAAGCTCAGACATTAATTTCAATTTAAAGCCAATTTAAAGTGGGATGTTTGCATTGGTCGGTTTTGTTTTGCCTTTAATTAACATAGGTTAATAACAGATTCTTTAAATTAGATCATTTAAATTATTGATTAAAATTCTAATCTAATGTACTTCTGTTCAACTTAGATTGTTTAGGTTGTAATAGGATGGAATTATTGTATCTAATTGTTAAGATTATAATACACAACAAAAAAGATCAAGTCAGTGGCTCATATTACTTGGAAATTGAGCCTTGGTGACATCAGAGGGGATATGAGTAATGCTGATTAGGGATTATTATAAATCTGGAAGTTCAAATTTGAAATTACACTGAAGGGCCTTTCACAAATGTTGAGGCCAGAGAAAGCATCGTTAGGGTGCTCCAAATTTAATTATCATGTTGCTGTGATTTTTGAAAGGTGGAAGGTTTTAATAATTCCCCAATACACCTTTGAAACATTACAAAAAGGTGAATCTTAATTTCTCATCAGGGTCTTTCCTGCATTCGTTGCTTCAGCTGTCAGACCATTATTCCATGGGGATAAATTGTTTAGTACACACTTCCATCCAAGTACTGTTACTTCAGGTATAAAAATTCAAAATCCGTATGGTGATGTCAGCTCGATCTTTTAAGTTGAGAGTACATTACTATTAAAAAACAGTCAGCTCCAGGCATCTATCTCTGTGAAACGCTTGTCTCACATTTTTCCTGTATTGTGAATTAAGCTGATTTGTAATATGGATTGCAAATAAAAATTAAAGCAGTGTGAACTGCTTTAAACTTAATTTAAAGGAGGGTCAACTTCTTGACTCCAGCATGTCCTCAGGAGGCTCTGTTGGTTGCATGCATCACTTCTGCTTAGAACTGGTGGTAGCCTGCATCGTAGTTGCCTGTGGAACTGAGGAAAAACTGCTCCCCTGTTCTGTTCCTTACATGATTTCACTTACTAGTCAATAGTGCAAGTTGGCATTTTTAATACAATGCCTGAAATTTGGAATTGGTTGACACATTATCACTTGGTGAGGGAGATGAACAGAGGCTTTTAGTGACAGTAGAAAAACAAGTAGAAAAAGACAGGGGAGTTGTTAAGTCTCTAGGATATTCTAAATACAAATTAAACCTTGCATTTTAATTTCTGAAAAGTATTGGTAGTGCATTATTATTGTTGAAGTTAGATTGATGTCTCTTTATTCTCTGAAATTTTGACATTTTATTGATAAAATAGAGTTGTGTAATGTTCCATAATATTTTTTGTGGTTATAGAAAATTGTCTGAGTAAGTTTCAGGCATCTTTTCTCAATTGATTTTTTTTTTGTGCAGCAGACATGAAACTGTCAGACTACTTTGTTCAGAGCTCCATTTTTAAGTTCCTATTTCTGCTTCTATTTAAGTATAATCACAAAAGGAAGACAAATGCAAATAAACCAGAGGGGACCAGGAAGGAAAACAGAGATTTAATGAAAATAAACCTGAAGAAAATAGAAAAATAGTTAGAAAACATGATTTATAAACAGAGACTGCCAAAATCAAGTTGCTTGGTCAACAGGAGACGAGACTGAGGTAGATAATACAGTTTTCCAAAATACAGAAAGCTACTAGAGGATGATGGTAATCATTAAATTAACTGTGCAGATGTCCCCTCAGCCTGGCATCCTGTCTGCCAGGGGCGGGAGGGTACATTGGATGCAGCATAGTCACAGTCAGTCTAAGCAGATGGAAGCTTGGTTTTTGAACAGAATGCTGCATTTTGGGTTATCCTGACTGGTACTTATTAGTCATCTTCTGCATCCTGGGAAGGTGCCAACAGGGCAGTTTGAATGCATTATTAATGCATTATTTAAAATACAAGAATATGCACCCGTTTCTCAGTGCATACCATGTCACGCTGCCCACTGTGTTACAGTTAGTTTCCTTGCTCTTAAAGAGTCTAAATCTTGGGTGAAACTAATTTGCTTGAAAGGATCTTTTAATTTAATATGTCATCATAACACTAAACGCACTGGAATTCAAAGCATTTCCAAATTCACTCTCTCTGTTGTTACTGAGGAAACTGTTGCTGCTGAAGCAGAAGATCCATTCAGAGCACAGTTTTTAACTTGTTTCCAGCATCTAACACTTATTGGAATCCCAGAAAATTTACTCAAATATCATTTACTCATGTAATTTGTTTATACATGTTAATTATAAAAACAGTGTGGATTCCTAGTTTGTTTTATTTTTTCCAAGTACCAGTTCCAAGTACCATTATCTAAAAAGCTAGCGAGTATACCTGATAGCATCAAAGGAAGGCAATAACAAAGATGTTTCAAGCTTATTGTAGCACAAAGATTTTAGAAATAACTCCTTAATTCTTGACTGTTGCCATTTTTCACACACATAACTGCAGAGGCTGTTCAAGCTGTGCCTAAAAGTCATCAAGAGCCTCTGCAGCATGAGAGCCAAAGGTCTTGATGGGAGAGACCAGGCTGAGCAGAGTTGTTAGCTCTCCCGTTTCGCTCATTTTTATGCTAGGCAGCACTTGCCTTGGCACTGTTATGAATCCACCTGTTAAAGCTGCAGGTATAAGGGTTATTCCATTCTAAAAAAGCCCCGTAGATAAAACATTGAGTTGTCCTGGTAATCTCGTGCTTCATCTCTGAGCTGTTTTAGGTGCTTTTGTAGCCTTCTATCAGTATAATTATGGGAAGTGTCCCTTGGAAAAGTTTTCCTTACGTTTCATTGAGATCTATGCTTACTAATGAGCTATGTAGAGCTCTGTTTGCATAGGTGAGGCGTTTCTTTGTTATTCTGCATTCACTTTATTGAGGAGACTGTCATTTAGAACTGTACTAGATGCAGTATTTTATGATATTTCTCTTAATTTGATTTTCAAATGTTGGTCTCACAGGTAGATTCCTTTAGTTACAAATTCCAACCTCCGTTACACTTAGATTAGATGGGTGCTGCCACATGGAGAATACCCTGAGATGAACCCTGTTGGGTAGCTAAGCGTCTGATGAGCTTCATTAATTACGAAATACTATTCTTAGCATCATAAACCTGTTTGAACCATTTAAACCCAGTTTATGTAACAGGCACAGTTACTGGCTGATAGATTTTTGCCAACTCCGTTGCACCTAGATAATGTAACCTTAGTTTTTGGAGCTGTGAGTGAGGAGACTGAAGTGGAGCACATCTAGTCAGAAAAACTGCTTTACAAGTTCAGTCCTCACGTGAAGCAGAGAGGCAGCTATTTTTCCCACACCAGTCACATTTATTAGCAAGAATGAGGGATGTGACTTCTTTGAACCATTCCAAGAGCAGTTATTCATTAGGAAGTTATGCCAATAGTCCCATGGCAATCAATTTAATACCATTTCCTGGGGTGGCAGGGGTTGGTACTGGGGGATGCCACGAAATGCAGGTGCATTACAGTGATTGAGGATGGTAGGTGTGGCTGGACTTGTGCCAGTCCTCTGAGGCTTCATTTAGCTCCTCTGTTCTTTGCCCAGAAATTGTGCCAGCAGAGGAAGGAGGCAAAGCTTGTATGCTTCTTGAGGTGCTAATTCTGTAGCTCTCAGGGTGTCCCATATTTTGCTTGAGTTTTAATCCTTCAGATAGAAGCTATTAAATGTGGCAACTGTTCAGAAACTGCAGCATGTCATATTCTATGACATGCTGTAACTGACAGCTACAGTGGAGAAAAGGAGTAAGTTTAGCCTTGAGAACAGGCTTCAGCAAATAGCCTAGTAGGTTATTTTAAGTGGAAGAATAGGAATTTTATTAGGGCTGTGCTTGAAGACTGGTGGAGAGAATTCATGTTTCTGACCTGCCTTATGTTGATTTGAGAGCATGTTGGTTGTTACATAGAATATTTGTGTGTATCTAAATAGGATGAGATAAAGAAATTTTAACCCTGCCAGATTGTTCTTTCCAGCCTGTCCACAGACCTTTGAGTTGTGGTGTGTTGGGTTTTTCTGTTGTTGTTGTTGCTGAGATAGCTGAGTAGAAGGGAAGAACAGGGGAAACCTGAGCTTGGAACTTGAAGGAATTGGGAAGTCCTAGATTGGGCTCACAGAATAACCTGAAAAATGACAAAATCTTCTAGAGAGGAGAGGTAGTGCTGGGTGAAACTGGATTGAAATAAAAAGCTAATTTGTGGGATCAGTGAAAGGCTTTCAGGGGAGTTATTTTTCCCAGCGGTGTCGCTTAAAGTAAAAGGGTCTTGCACCTTTGTCAAATGGGGATTTTAAAGAGGGAACTTTCTATCCTTGTTTTCCCTCATATCACTTCGTAGCTTGTCTTTATGACAAGATTTTTGGTCTGTTTTGATGATGAAAGAAATAAAACTGGAGGAACATGTTCCTGCATGTTGTCACCCATGAGCTGTAGGCACAGTCGTGTTAGTCATTGAGAAAGAATTAAAGGCTTTTGAAGTGATTTTGAAGAATTTTATTACACGGGGACCGAGGAACTGCAAATGCGTAACAGCCGAGCTTCAATATTCATTTTTAGGAATGGATTTGACTTCAGATTGAGGCCTTCCCAATTATGGCAGCACAGAAATATTCAAAGGTTCCCTGCCATGAAGCTATGCTCTGTGATTCTGTGGCAGAGTCATCAACAACTCTGTAGGTTTCTGAGATTAAAGTTTACTTCTGATGTGCCTTTGCTTACTGGCATGTGAGGCTTTTATTCGTGGAAAAGTTAGTGTGCAAACATACAAATGCAGCAATTAATTTAAGAGGGAGAAGGGAGGAAAAAAAGGCCAGCAGTTGAAATAAAACAGCTTAAATAGTAAATAAAATAAACAGAGTTGGAGCAAATCCAAGGAGGACAGCAGGAAACCAATTCAAGCTGCATCAAACCAGCATACTTTAAAGCAGTAATGTTAAGAGCTCTAATTAATCTGCAGATATATTTTTAAAGGGATTTTTTTAAACCATCTTGTATGTTGGGTACAGTGGGGAAGTACCAAAATAAAAGTAGCTGTAAGTCTGGTTGATCATGCTGTTTGTTCTTGCATCCTGGTGAATTTATTAATCTGAGGCCAATAAAGGGTTTCAGGGTTTCTGCAGCAGCTGTTCAAGCTCTTCCATCTCCGTGCACCGGATGGTGGCTCTCAAAAGAGTTAGATCAGCCTTTCCGCTATTTTTGTAACTGAATTAGATCATGAAAGGGGTAAACTTTGTAACATATATTCCGGAGAAGATAAGCTATACTGATGTCTCCTCTTTATGCATGAATCTAATGAGCAGCTCTGAGGCTGAAAAAACGGACTGTAGTTCAGAAAAATGACCATGAAAGCTCAAAACTGAAGTGATGGGAAACGTATTTATGGTATTGTGTAGACCACTTCATGGCTGAGTATGGCCAGTGCTTGGGACAGAGGTCCGGAACCAGCACCTCTGTCAGTACTGTATCCTGCTGAAGGTGATGATTCTTAGCAAATTAGTACCAGGAACTTTGGAAACTCATTATATTGATGGGCTGTAAACAAGTGTGCTTTGGTAGAAAAGCATTAAAACTTTGTGAAACACAAAGTGATGATTTCCATTTTTAACCCTTGTCGTAAAGACTTTTCCTATTTCTAAAAACAAAAGATGTTCTCGCTCAACAGAGGCTTACCGTCAGAAACCTCAGAATTTGCTCAGCAAGACTTGATCTTGTTTTCTGCTCCTCAAGCTGCCTGTCCCCATGCTGTCCCTTTGAAGGATTCTGTGGAGCTGCAAGATGGCTCAAGCTCAAAGCTCATGCTTTGAGCTTCCCTGCAGCAAGTCCAGCACCCTGGGATACGTTCAGAGCTGTGCTTGTGCAAACCTGTGCTTCAGCTCTAGATTTTTCATTACCCTTTGACCCTTCATTAAGGACTAGGAAGATGTCTGCGGAAGCACAGGCTCTGTGCCAGGGCTGACTGGCACAGCCCTGTATGCTGAGGTTATGCAGATCCAGGAGGTTCAGCTAGATGCTGCCAGGTTTCTAATTGTTTTTTAGCAGCATGAATGAAATAGGGTGGAGAAGGAAGAGAAGGTGAGATTCGGGGTACAGGATTTGGAACAGTACAGGATGTGGAGGATATGTGTGGCAGAGACCCACATTACTCCAGGAAAAGAAAGCTTTAGATAGATACTTCAGTGTGTACAAGACACCCAGCACATCTTCCCAAAGCAGAGCTGGTGTTGACACTGGGAGGTTCCCACTCCCCCGCTGTGCTGCAGCTGTGCTGGGGCAGAGTTTGTGCATGATACTGTGAACCGAGTGCTCCCTCATGGGTTTTGCTTTTATGAGTGAAAGCAGTGATCTGGTTCTCAATGCTGCCAGCTGTGTTTGGTGTAGGGATGAGTGGTGGGCTCATGTCCTGCCTGTTCCGATTGCAGCCTTTTCAAAGCAGCCACTCACAAAGACTAAAAGATTTATCAAGATTTGTCATGCAAAATTGCTCTATTCTGGATAATTTGTGTTTCAATTTCTCTTTCGTGACTGGTGTTTGATGGTGTGGTTTGTACTATATTTTTTGTTCTGTAGCTTTATCTTATTAAGAAAAAGGTGTGTGTAGTAAAAGACATCATTTCCCATACATGGGGGGATGAAGATAAAAAGACATCTTTTTTGATTTTTTTTTTTGCTTTTTCAATACAATGCAAAAATGGCCCTCTAGTGGTCACAGCACAAAAAATAATAATAAAAAAAATAATAAAGAAATGATACAGGGAGTTTGCTTCATCTCACCCAAGCAGTACGGCAATAATAGCTTTCTCCAGGGCTCTCAAGCAAAGAAACCAAAATGATGAAAGTTTTTCTCTTCTCCTTGACATTCTCGTGCTTCTGCATGGAGGAGCTAAGATAATATTTGCAATTTAGTCATGTAATTGGCAGCTTCAGACTATGCATCTGGGGAGCTTCACTTAAATGACTTAACTGTGCACGTTAATAACGACGGCAATTATTTATTGAATAATAGACTATTGGGTTTCTTAAGTAGCTAAGGCACTGAGCTGTGGAACAAAGACTAGCACAAATTACGTTGTCAACTATATTTCAGTTTGTTCCTGAAATCACCGTACTGTGCCTTCTTTTTGTTCCCTTTTATGTAACTCTTTTTTTTCTCTTTGAATTCTTCTCAACAGCCCAGTGACTTCTCGGTATCTCTAAAGGCATCGGGGAAGAACAAACATTTCAAGGTGCAGCTCGTGGACAATGTCTATTGTATTGGGCAGCGTCGCTTTAATACTATGGATGAGTTGGTGGAACACTACAAAAAGGCTCCCATCTTCACCAGTGAACACGGGGAAAAGCTATATCTTGTGAAAGCACTTCAGTGACGATGAAGATGGACTTGGCCACCCAGGCCTCTTCTAACTTCCAAGCCTTAGGTCCCAAAATCACTTTTATAGAGCAGAGCAATATCCGAAACAGGCTTAAAGAGTAGGCTCTTTCTAACGTGTTTGCTCTGTTGGTTGTTATTTGTCCTTTTTCGTTTGCCTACTTTTGTGTTTCAGTTCTTTTAATCTCAGATCACCTCCCTTCAGGTTGAGAAGTTCACCTTTGTGGCCATTGTAAGCACTCACTTCCATGTCCGAGTTCTAAACTCCCCTCTTCTGTGTACGTTTACATACTTAGCTCGGATAAAGGAGGGGGGTTTGCAATTCAACCCAGTGTTAACCTGTTCAAATTGCTCACGCAGACAGACAGAACTCTTCATTAAGAGACATCGGGCACAGTTTGAATGCACTGAGGCTGCAGCTAAGTAAGTGAGATATAGTAGACATAACAGTTGTGGCTGTGAGTTCTGTAGCTATATTGCTTACCAGGTAGTATATTACAAAAACTCCTAGTTCCTAGAAGCACTCTTTACACTGTACTCTGCTATTACATTGCCTCTCTGACTCTTTGCAAAGAGTACACTAATTAAAGCGTTTTGTAATAGTACTTCTTAAACTACTATGGTAAGATTGTAGTAAAAGAAAACTATCTAGTGTATTTTGGTCTGTAATTGCAACAAAGAGAAATTTTATTTGAAAGTTGATTACTAAAGAGAGAATCGTTGAATTGTAAAGACTGAATGTTCTGGTAATCTACAACCAAATGTGCCATCCACATAATGCTTTTCTCCTCTTGCCCTTCTGCTTGTTTGAATTAAACAATTATGTATTTAATTCTCAAAGTAATATGTATCTGTAGCTGATTGTTGACACTAATACAGAAGATTAATAAAAACTGATCAGGGGACAGGGTGGGGTGGGCTACCAACACTATATATATATTTGCTTTACAGAAAGGAATCTTCAGGTTTTACAGAGGATGGTGTGATTGGTAGGAAGAGACACACAGAATGTTTATGAAGAAAATGCTTTTTTTTTCTCTTTTCTTTACATTTAAACTCCTTTATGGTTTAAATATGCAGACTTTAGATGGCACACTCCTGAGATTGAAGAAGGGATCTTGAGATCTCAAAATCTTGCATACTCAGTTTTTTGGATATTGTAATAAAAAAGGTATTATGTCATGATGGAGTACTGGGTTTATCCTTGGGTGGTAGTCCTGGTGTGGCTTTAGAAAGGTCAAATAGAGTAAATTCTGAATTTGTCTGACTTCGAATGTGTGTGGCCTACAAAGAAAACATTTGCAACTGCAGAGTTCAGTTTGATATGAGGCACTGTGTAATGAGCTCCACCGTTGGTTCTCTCTGTGATTTGTTTATAGCTTTAATGAAAACTGCAAGATGGAGCTCTCTTATGGTACCTTTTTGCTATTAAGTCTTCCTTACAGATTTTGTATTTTAGGGTAGTAGGCAGAGCATGCAGCAGCTGAGGGCTGCTCTGAAAGTAATGCCTCCTATTTATTATTATAATGTCAGAGATGAATGTTGATGGGATGGCAGGAGAGGCTGAACCTTCCCACCAGTATCCTGTAACATTTTGTTGCTGTGTGACAGGTGGCAGCAAAGGAGCACTCCGACACAATGGTGTCTGACGTGAAAGTATGTATGAAACAAAGGTGTCTCATTGAATTCTTCCGTGCAGAAAAAAATGGCATCCATTGACATTTATCAGCTTTTGCTGGAACTTTATGGAGACCAGACAGTGGATGTGAGCACAGTGAGGCGGTGGATGGTGCGTTTCAGCAGTGGTGACAACGACATCAAAGACAAGCCATGTTCTGGATGGCCATGCAGATTTTTGTGACTGTGGCGTGCAGGCGCTTGTTCATCATTGGCAAAAATGCTTAGCTGGTGGTGATGACTCTGTTGAAAAAGTGTTTTGTAGCTGAGAATTTGTTCTGTCAAATAGTGTTATTGTGCTCTTTGTATCTGTTGTAGTTTCTATGGAAGTAATTTGAGGCATTACTTTCAGAGCAACTAACATGCAACTTCATGAGTTATACACGCGTTATTCACCCACCGCTCTTCCTATTTCTGTGAGATTATCTGGATTAGAACTGTGTATGAATTAACAGCTGTTTTTTTCTGTATGTGGGTAAACAAAAATTGGGCGCTGAAAATTCTGCATGGTCCAGCCTCGTGAACAAAAGTAGTGATTTAGGGCAGACCAGAACAATCACTCTTCATCCTGGCAAGAACATGCCCATGGCTAGGTTCTGGAAGCAGGAAAGTTTTCATTACAGAGTTGCTGAGAAGTGCCCCTTGTTTACAGTCGTCTTGCCAGGACATCACAGTTGGTTTCTTCTTAACCTTTGAAGTGAGTTCTGCAGAGACCATAGGTCTTTTGCTGTCTAATATGTAATTCTTTATTTAGCTAAATGTAAGCATGTACCTTGAGTATGGCAAAGATGTTAAGAACTTCAGTAAACTAACAACCACAGTTACTCTTTCATGCTCCATGTTCAGTTTTCTGACACATTCACTGTTTTTCTTGTTCCATGAGTCTTCCTTTGCCTCTTGTATGCTTTTTTTTTTTTTTCCACTAAAAGTTTATAAATCCTTTTCTAGTCTTGATAGATTAGAATTAAATCAAATATACTTCCAAGTGAAATTTTTTACCATATGCTTGATATTTTAAGGGGTTTACAATCCTTTTGGTTTTTTTTCTTCCACTTCTTGCCTTGTGAGCAGCTTCTTAATATTGAGGCGCCAACCATTGAAGTATTTTGTTTGGAAGCAGTTAGTTAATTTATGACCCAGCAGTATGAACAACTAGCTTGAATTTTTTTTCTTTTTTCAAACAAGCTTCATCTTGTTTTTACTCACTGTGTATTTAATCAACATGCAGTCTATTCAGCAGGCTCATTAATAGATCTTCAGTTGTTCCCAGACTTTACTAATTAAGATAGGTTTCTGCGAGTTTTACTGCCTTTTTGACCTCATTTTCTGGACTGGGCCTTAAGCATTGAAAGTCTTCAGTGATAACAGTTTAATAAAGGACAGTATTACATGGATTTTTGTTTTTTCATTTTATGCCTATGCTTCCTATCTTTTGACAAAATTGAAATCTTTATTTTTTGACTACTTAATGCCTCTTGTCAAAATATGGGATTGGGGGTGGGGGTGTTTTCTTGTGAGATTGTAGGAATTGGGGTTACCTGAGTTTCTTCTCCTGCAGTTTTCATTAAAAGCTCAAATAATACCTGATGAGATGGTGATTTTTCTTAATGATATTTAACCTGGCTTTTCCTGTCATTCATCTGATTCATACAGATGCATCTGTTTTGTTTTGAAGTATTACATTTGTATAGTTGTTGAATGTTTTCTTGCCTTTATACTCTTTATGTAGGACAGTGAATGAGTTTTCTGAATCTGTAGTAGTTGCTGTACTTCCTTTGTAGCAGCAGGAATTTGAGATCCAGGCTTTTACTTTTAGCTCCAGGTTTTCGTTAGTGAGCTCCCTCTTCAGATTATCCTGACCACTGTGATATCACCAAGCACGGAGTACAAAAAGATTGTCAAATCCTGTCACTTCTGAACTTGCACATCCTTCTAGGCTGTGTACCAGTCCTTTCCAAAGGCTGTTTTACTTAGGCTGCTGTGGTTGCTGTCCTTCTTGGTCCTTGCTTTTTTTGCTATTCAATCTTGCAGACTGAAAAGTTTCCAGACAGGCAGGGAGGAGGTCCTGGCTATCACTAGTATTTTATTTTTTGAGAGAGGATTTAGAGGGGCATTTTGCCACTCTTATTTAGCTACTTCACAACTGTATATAGCTGGGAGCTGGTGCTGTTTGTCAGTGCTTCTACTGCCATGCTGTTGTTACCCATGCTGATATTTGGCAAAAAAAAAATAAAAATCAGAGAGCTTTAGGATTTACTCTCTTTTGCAGATGAATGCACACAAGCTTTTTCTTAGCTCCCAAGCCAGACAGTTACTTGCCAGCTCCAAATTGGAAAAAGTGTAAACTCGTAGCACGATGCTGAGTCTTAAGCTGGAAGTCTTGCAGAGAACTCCAACAGAAACTGTAAATAAAGCAGTGCAGCTTTCAGCTGATTTAAGGAGCCTGTCTGCAAAATATGACACAGTTTGGTTCCACATAGCCACAACCGACTGATTTAGTTTTGAAAGTAGTCACACCAGTTGCAGGCAGATTACTGAAGGATTAAGCTACGAGTAAACAGAGAGCATGTTGGGTAAGCTCGTGTGGTCCTGCTGTAGGACCAAAGGCTTTGCTTTGCCTTTGATTTAGGGAAGAGGAGAGAAAAGGTGGTTGGGTAATGTGGGCTGTATGAATGGACTAAAAGTCATGGTCTTGAATAATTCTATTTAGTATTCTCTAATCAATTTTTTTTTTGTCTTAGAAATTAAGGTAACAGTCTTCAAGTTGACGGTTAAGCTTTCAGGCCTTTACTGTAGCTTTCCTGTAGTGTAAAACTAATGTCCTCATGTAACAGTTTCACTAAGAGCAAATAAGAGATCTATGCTTGTAGTGATGAGTTTTGTTATGACAAAGGTGAAATGTTTTAAACCATTTTACAATTTTACCTATAAGAATGAACCAAACCTTGCCTCAACTACAAACAAAAACATTAAAAAAAAAAAAAAAATTAAGAAAAGGGACCATGCTTCTTTTGGATTCAGTATGGCATTTTATTTGGCAAAAGCTACCACATAACTGGAATGGCATTTGTTTCTTCTTGGTCTTAAGCAGATCTACTCTGTAGTTTGGAAGTAAGGAAACATGTGCAATCTCCCCAAAATCTGATGAGTCCAGCGTTCCTCCTCCAGTAGCATAGGATGACTCATTTTTAAATGGAAACTTGTTAACGTATTTATACCAATAATCTGTGAAAGGTGCATTGAAGAAGTAACTTTCAGCTCCTTACAATTACAGTAGGAACTGTGAGTCTTTCCAGTCCTAACAAAATGAGGTGCTTTCCTTTTCTTTTTTTAAGAAGTGGAAAAGCATAAAGCAGCGAGAGTACAGAGTGCCCAATCCTTAACGGTACTACAGACCACCTGGACCATGTGAATAAAAGGTCTCATGGCAAAAGGACACAGGTAAACTCTACCGTTCCTTTCACTAGTTTCCCAAAGGCAGATGAAGCTTTTCAGTAACAAGTAAATCAGTTGTGCAGTAATGTTGTAAAAAGTATAGAACATAGAATCATAGAACTGCTCAAGTTGGAAACAACCTTAAAGATCATGGAGTCCAACCACAACCTAACCACCTGACTCTAACAACCTTCCACTAAATCATGTCCCCGAACACCACATCCAAACAGTTTTTAAACACATCCAGGGATGGTGACTCAACCACCTCCCTGGGGATCCTATTCCAGTGCTTAACAGCCCTTTCCTGTTATCCAGCCTAAGCTTACCCTGGTGGAACTTGGGTGGCCGTTTCCCCTCGTCCTGTCACCAGTGAGAAGAGACCAGCCCTGCTCTCACTGTAAGCACCTTTCATACTGCAGTTTAAACCCAAATGTGCTCCAGTTTTAGTATGAAGTAGAAGCACCTTTCGTTTTTATATGTTCTTGTGCTATTGTCTTGCAAAAGCAGTAGGTTGTCTGTTCAGTTGTATATTCATATCTATGGCTGTTGGACGTAACATACATACAGAGAACATTTATGGGCCTGAGATGACTGAATGTGAAATACGACATCTAGATGACATGCTTTAAGCCAAAATGTTTTCTGGTCCTTTCCTTTTTTCTGGAACCCTATGCTACTTTTATATTTTGAAATGCGAGTTTTTCTTGCATGTTTACTTAATGTTTCTTTTCCTGTTATAAAATAGCTTTTTGTCTCCTCTGTTGTTATTTGAGGTCTCTACCCAATCTCATAAGCAGCTGACTAAAAGAAGTGGTATGTAACCCTTCTCATATTAGACAAGTTTTTCCTTGCTTTTTCTTTCATATGTGGTAATATTTAAATGGTTTAGGAGTGGGAGGTTAAAGAGATAAAAGAAAAAAAAAGAATCTTTAAATTGACAGATTATCTTCAGTAGTGGGAGTCCACAGTTATGAGGGGAAAGTTAGAGGTAAGAAGTGTTTTCTTCTCTTTCCTGAAATGAATTTGGCTTGACATCAGATGGCACTTGTGCATGAAGTATTAGAAAGGTT